TCATGTAAAATTAATGACAAAATAGTGTTAATATCATAAGATAAAATAATGTATAACAAATGAAATATCAATTAATGCAAAAGCAGAAACACAAATTTCATTTTGTTTAGATCCCGAAGAATTGAACGAAGAAAAAAGATCGAGGAAGCATTTTGGAATTGTTTATAATAAGAGTTTCAGAGGAAACATTGTGGCATTAAACAAATTGAAAATAAATGTAAATGATATAAAGTCACTTGAGGAGTTTTAAAAAAGTTTACATGTTGGAAAAAATCGGGAGTGAATATATAGTCCACTTTTATAGTGCCATGTTTATACCAAGTAAGATATGTACGGTCACCGTATTTGCTTAATTTGGAAGTCTACAAGACTTAATGAAAAATAAAAAAAAATCTGAAGAAATTGACATAAAGGTACGAGTAAGCACAATGTTAGATGCTTCAAAAAATATTTTGTATTTACACAAGAATAAAATATTGCACAGAGACCTAAAACCAGACAATATTTTGGTTTTTTTGATTCAGAAGATATAGTGAATGCCATATTAACTGATTTTAGGTGTGCAAAAAATGTTAATTTGTTGGTGATTAACATGACTTTTTTAAAGAATATGGGCACACCGATATATATGGCGCCTGAAGTTTTAAAACAAGAAAAATAAAAAAAGAGTGCTGATATTTATACGTTTGGGATTGCTATGTATAAAGTATTTAATTATAGAAGCATACAATAAAACTGATTTAAAGTTTCCACTGAAAATAGCTGAGTTATTTATAAGTGGAAAATAGCTCCAAAATTTTGAAAAGATTCCAAATGATTGTTATAATATTATCAATATTTGTTGGTGTAAATTCATCTAAATAATTGTCAATTGAATGTATTTTTAAAAAAATTAAAACATTTAAGTACAAACACATCAAATTGATTTATATTTTATTGTTTTACATTTTAAGTTGTGTTATGAAATGATAACAATAATAAGAAATACAGTATACATTTTAAAACCCCCCAAAAATTGTTATTTGTACAACTAAAATATTTGATTTTTTGACTTCAAATCCCAACTTTAAACTTTGAAGTTTCTTTGGATTATTTATTTCATGAATTAAATTAACATTTTTATATTAAAAGTTAACTACTTTTTCAAATTATAATAATTAATACAAATAATCTATTTATAATACATTTTAAATATATTTTTAAACAATCAAACATATAAGTTAAAGTTTTTTAAAAAAACAAAAATATAACATAAAGGTATAAAATAACTATTAAAAGTACTCTTTATAAACTTAAAATCAAATGAACATTATTTCGCTATTAGTGTGTTCAACACTTACAATTTCAGAATATGCGTATCTTGATGAAAGTAACTTCTTTTTAGGAGCCGAAATAGGGAAATGTATCAAATTTCAAACCAATATATTTGGCCGATTTGAAATCAGTGCAACAACAAAAACAATTTAACTTATTTTTCTGGAGATGATTGCAATACATTGACATTAAATCCATCAGTAGCAGAGAAGTATGCATTAACAATAGATTTGCCTGCACATTTATTTCAGACCGAAATTTACTTTGATGACACTTGTTCGTATCCAAAAGAATATGGACCATTAATAGCATATTATAAACAAGGATGTGTAAAAGAACCTAGCTCAGAAAATATATATGGGAAAGGAGTAATAAATAAAGAAGAAGTTGTTGTATCTTTTTATGAAAACGATAAATGTGAAGGAGTAGCCGAACAAACAATAACTGTTATATTAAACGTATGCGAAAAAAAAGAAAATAGTCGATCAATTAATCGCATCATTCAACCTTCATCTGCTATTGGCGCTTTTATTCTCCTTACTTTAATTGTTTCGGTTCTACTTTAATACAATTATTATATTAATATTTGTGTTATTTATTGAACTTGTGATACAGTTAAATATAAAGATTAATTCTATTGATGAAAACATAAAATAAACCCATTCATTTAAATTTAAATTCACACTTTTGATATAATAAAAATTTAAGCCAAGTTTAAAATAAATAAA